GCCCATCAAGCAAAGCACCCCTTAAGTTATGGGCGCAAGAAAGCCTTACAACCAAAGCCCCCCCAGGGAAGGCACTGCTTTTTCACGATCGATCCCAACAGAATTTAAAAGTGACTTCAAGAAAGATGTAAAAGCCCCCGGAAAGGCAGTTCCCAGGGAGAGCAGCTCGGAGCAGCTGCTCACTGCCGGGGCCAAGATGCAAATGAAAACCAGACACCAGACACCCTTTCCCAAGTCAGATTAGCCAAGATAAAAATGACCGATCCGCCTGTGTGTTGGCAAGGGTACCAGGTGACTCCCACCCGGGGAAAGGCGTGGGGTGGGTTGGCCCGACCCTTCGGAAGGACCATTTGTGACCCCTGGCTCCTGGCTTCTAGGAATGCAGCCCACAGAAGCATGCAGGCGTGTGTGCCAAGACCCAAGTACAAAGATGTCTTGTTGGAAAATCTATTTTTTTCATGGAAACAATCCAAATGTCCATTAAAGGGGATTAAAGGATGGCTGTTGGACCATGGGGACACGATGCTTTTTATAAAAGGAGAAAAAAATAGAAGAAAGGCTGAGGTGACTCCGTGTGCTAACAGGGAAATATCTCTGAAACATAGCGTGGATCAAGGAGGTGGCCATGGGAGAATGAGTAGTCAGATTCCATCTTGTATTAAACTTGCAACGATGGAAACTCACTGCCCTGGAGTCGATCCCGACTCTGAAGGACCCTATGGGAGAGCCTGGCGCCTCCCTCAGGTTTTCATCTTTCTCTAGGTTAGAGCGAGTATAGGAGCGTTTGTGTTCAGAAAGCCCACGGGGAAAAAATGTTGTTGTCTTTTAACTCAGTTTTCCCACCAACTTTTTGAAGCCTCTTCTAATGAAAATATTTCAAAGAAGCTCTTGGGGATACCAAACTGTTACCACAGGATTGTCTTGGGATAGGAGTGAGTGGTTATGCAACAGAGCAGCAAGGGGAGCAGAGCAATGAGTCCCCGGGGAATATCAAAAATAGACTTTGGGGCCAGGGCGTGGCACCTCATCAGACTCGACCGGAAGACACTCCTGAAGATCAACACACAGACCTGGAGCTATTTATAGGTTTTTCTTTTTTTGTCTGTGTTTGTTGTTGTTGTTTTGTCTTGTTTTTGTGTTTGCGTGTCTACTTAGATATGACAGGTGAGATAAACAATCTGGAGGAGAAAACAACTGACCGATGGTTTGGGGTGTGGGAGGTGGAAAGGAAGTGGATGTTAATAAGCCCAGGGACAAGGGAACAACAAGTGATTTAAAATTGATGTTGAGGGGGTGTAGGAGGCCTGGTGGGGCTTAATCTAGGGCAGTGTAGCCAAGAGGAATTACTGAAACCTGAATGCAGGTCAACTATGATAGTGGGACAGAGGAAAGTAAAAGGAAATAGAGGAAAGAACTAAGAGGCAAATGACATTTATACAGGCATGTACATATGTAAATACATTTATATATAACGATAGGGAAATAGATCTATGTCCATATAGATATATGTTAAGTATTAAGGTAGCAGACGGACATTGGGCCTGTACCCAACTACTCTCTTGTGGAACCCTTGATCAAAATGTCGAATAGGCTCAGGCACCATCTAATTCTTCTGGTCATAAAGCCAAAGTATTGTTAGCCTAAGGGATAAGCCAGCTCTGGGATTTCTAATTCCAAAGCAGGTTTCTAATGAGTGGGATAGAGTCTGGGCAAAAGGAGTCTGTGCTGAAGAAGGCTGCTCATTGTGGGGTAAGATTCGGTTACTGTGATGCACAGATGTTTGGAAGTCTATTGTGCGCACACCTGTAGCGCACACCTGCAGTCTGGAACCCGCGCTAATCCCCTAGCCCACCCCCGGGGGATGGATAGTTTTCATTGATCCTGCCAAGCAGGTCACTTCCTGCAGCTTTTTCCTTGCCCCCTTTTAATGTGTGCATTCTTTCCCCACTAACTTCTCCTTGTGCCTTGCATGTAAGCTTAAAACCAAACCAAACTCGCTGCCTTCAAGTCGACGCTGATTCACAGCAGCCCGTTAGGACAGAGTGGATCTGCGTGAGTTTCCTAGACTGTAACTCTTTTAAAGCTCTGTCTTTCTTCCGAGACGGTGGTTGCACACCGCTGACCTTGAGGCTTGCAGCCCAGTGTGTCACCACGACATCACCAGGGCTCTGTGTGGAAGCTCATACCGCCCTCAACAAAGGTTTACCAACTGCATGATTGATTTCTTTAGAAGGATCAGCACAAGACTGGTCCCTATGAGACAGAGTTTAAAGATGTCCCAAATGTTCAACTTTCCCCAAATGCTGTGCCACACCATTATTTCTGACAGCGGCCACACCTCAGGCTTCCACCTCACACCTTTTAATTCTGTCATTCACCGCAGTGTCTCACAAACCGCAGTGTCTCAAAGAAATGGCTTACACGGGGTGGAGGCCGGCCAGTCGCGAGCTAGGCCACTGGCTCAAGTCCCAAGACTTGGAGAGGGTCCAGAGAGAGAGGGTCCAGAATAAGAGAACTTAGTGAGCATGCCACAGTGCACATGTCGCTTTGTTTCATGACGTGGATTACCATCCCCACAGTGTGACAGTACTGTCCTCGCTTCTTTCCCCTCCCTGCTCGTGTGCACGTCCCGCTGTGCCGATTGTTCCCTTCGCTGAGACCCAGAACCTCTACAAGCACGCATCCCCATCAGAGGGTCCTGGCGAGCGTCTGCTGTTCAGAGCGGTTGCCGCTTACTTACAGCAGCCGTACCCCAGAGTCGAAAGAGTGATTCTTAGGTCTTGTGATTAACTCAGCGACATGATAGAAAGTTCCGAACTCAAGTGTTAAGCATGTCTCCGCCGGAGCGCCACAACACCGATGTTTGGAATGATGGAATTCTAGTTTCCTCCTCTTTCTTTTTCCTACAGAAAGACACTTCTGGGACCGACATATGGTTCCCCCATTGAACAGGTTCAACTGCTCCCTGTGAAAACCGCTTTCGAGCTTCAGAAACGCTACTTGGTGTTTATTAACAAAGACAAGGTACACATGTGCTAGGAACGGCAATCAAGCCCAAGGGTGGCTAAGACTCAAGGGCACTTGGTTTCATGTTCAAGTCTAAGTATAGGCAGACCTTGGTGATATGGGGGGTTTGGTCTCAGACCACTTCAGGAGAGCCAGTGTTGCAACAAAGTGAGTCCGTGGATTTGGGGCTTTCCGAGTGCCTAGAAAAGTTACACAGACCCTAGATGGTGGTCTAAGAAGTGTGCAAGAATATCCTGAACAAGTGTGAAATACTGTGAGAGTGATAAAAGTGGGACGCAGAGAGATGATGTGAGCACGAGTCATATCTTGAGCATGTTGGAAAAAATGGTGCTGATAAACTCGCTCGACCCAGGGTTGCCACAAAGCCTCCATTTGTAAAACCAAAAAAGCTGCAACATCAGTGGAGGGCAATAAAACGAGGGTGCGGGTACTTCTATCCTGGGCAATGGTCAAGCTGAAAATTGCCAGAGATCAGCAGGGATGTTTCTTAGGGGACCTTTCTGGGCAGTTCCTGTACTTCCTGCAACCCAAATAGAAGACGCACAGATCTCCAAAGGATCTTTTTAATCTCAGATTTATTTCCCTGTAAAATATGTATTTCGTTGTTGTTCAGTCCCATGGAGTTGACTTGGATTCATAGAGACCCCGGGATGGAGTAGAACCGCCCCACAAGGCTCCCTAAGCTACTGTCGCTGTGGGAGCAGATGGTCAGGGCTTTCTCCCATGGAGCCATTGGGTGGGCTCAAACCATCAACCCTTTAGCTAGGAGCCCACTTTTTAACCAACACTCTGCCAGGGCTCCTTGATAAACCAGCATAAAAATAGACAAATCAGTCATGCTGGGTGATACACTTGATTAATCTGTGGTAAAATCATAAAACTGTACATCAGGATTATTCTGACACCCCGGGCTGCTGACCACACAGGCAGACATGGCGGTACACATCCTTTCCGTGCAGCCCCCATGTGGAGAGGCCCAGGCTGCAGCACATTCTCCTCTCTGAGAGACCGCTTGGTGAGGCTCAGAGTGCCGAAGCCCAGCTGAGGCGGCCAGGGTGCTCACCCACCTGAAGGGTTTCAGACCTACTGGCCTGTCTTGCACACACATCTGGAGGTGACAGGAGGAAGCTCCCATACTGGCGGGGTGGAGGGGCCGGGGCATCACCTGACCCTCCGTCCCTTGGCTGTCTTTCGCTCTAGGTTGGGCTCCAGATCTTACCAGTGGATGGCAATCCACATAAGACGTCGGCCATGATTTGCCACCCCAGTGGGGTGGTCGGGATGACCCTTTCCTACGACGGCTGCTATGCCTTCACGGCAGGAGGAGAAGACCACTCGGTGGCCCAGTGGGAAATTAACCTAAGGTAAGTGAGGAGGCGGGCGTGTGTCAAGTGTAGATGCCACCACTTCACTCAACAGCAGCAGGCAGGCGTGGCTCACCCATGACAGGCCAGGCCCCAGCTTTAAGGTGTGGGAGAGAAGGGGCTATGGCAGAGGGATGGACTGAGTCTGGGAGAGAACCCTGGGGCATGTCTCACGAGCTGGGGCAGGAAAGGGAGGCACATGTGAAGAGACTCCAGGAACAGTCAGCTATCATTTCCCATCTTAGAGCTCCCTGTCACTTATTATCCAAACTGTTATTCACCCTCTGGTTTTCTTTTTT